GTGTACAAATGCTGTCTGATATGCATTTAAATAAACAATTTATTTCTGTATTTGTTATATGCCATCAAATGCAGGCTCGGATTGTCATGTAAGGTATGTTCTCCCTCCTTTTCGCATGCCTTCAAGGTATTATTGGAAGCATTACGTATTTTTTTTCACTTCTCCTACTTAAAAAAAGGGGGGGGGAGATTCTACAGTCATATTAACACCTTAACTGTTGTGAGACCCACTTGTGGATCATGATATATTAGTTTTTGGAGCCTTGTGAAACACTGAAATTTGTGGCTGTATGTACCACTGGTGGGTCACCTTTTCAGCAATTTTATACATGGGAATATAGATATCTTCAACCTCCGAATCACTGCTCAATTGCAAACATATAATTTCATAAATATATTGTATTTTTTATTACTCATAAAAATTTACAAAGTTCTAACATTTTGAAAATAATGCTCATCTTTTTTTCTTGCAAAATAGTGTTCAAAATACATGAATATGTGCTGCAGTGTTCTGTATAGCACAAAGTATTGTTCAAAAGTAAATAAAATTGATATAAAATGCCATGTTGCATCCTATACATAATAACCTACAATTATTTTTTTTCTCAAAATTATCTTATGAATTAAAATGTACTTATCTTTGAGATTTGGAATAATATAATACAAATGAGAGAAATATGATGCAAGTGCACTGAATAGGACCCGAATTTTACTTGAAGATGATAGCGTATAAATAAATGTCTAGCATAATGCGCATACATTAGCATATACATGAACAAAATAATAAAAATTCTGGTTTTGAAAATAATAGCTACATACACTGAAGTGCCACTGATTTAGGGATAGACATGGCTATGCGAATTGTATAGCATTGTGCCGCATTTATGCTCATGTGAGAGCATTGTGGTAACTGCACATATAGCTAGTATTGTGGTTGTTGTTAATCAATTGTTTCAACTGCCAGTATGGGTAAAATTCCTGATTTAGGCATCTTTGATCCCGGACAAATAGAAGGCGCTCAACGCATGAACCATTCGATTCCTGACTACGTCTGAGACCTACAATTTTAAAGGTTGACAGTGTCGGGTATACCAAGAATACACAGATGTGGGAGAAAAAACTGCAAACTTCAAAGGACAGTTAGACTTGAATGAGCGTGATGTGAGATAGTTCAGCAATATTGTACGTACCCAGCGAAGCTAGACCTAGCTGAATCGGAGAATTCAGATTACCACCCAGCTGAACCAGGGTGCCTGTTGTACAGTCAGTAAACAGACCACCCAATGCTTGCTTCACCATATGGGCTTTGGATGCTTTAGACCCACAAGATTACTATTGCTGAATAAATGCCATTAGGCTGCACGTCTTGACTGGCAAGACAAAACATATAATGGACTGTAAAGGACTGGAAACAAGTAGCATGGAGTGATAAGTCTCAATTCTGACTGCTTAATGTCGACAGGTAGCTGAAAATATGCCATGATACTCATAAAGCCATGGCTCCTGCATGCCAGGTTGGAACTGTACAAGTCCATGGTGGCTCAGTCATGGTCTGAAGTGTTTTCTCTTGGCAGTGTTTGGGATCTTTGGTACTTGTACCAACCTCCTTCAATGCGACCAGGTACATAGGGTTGCTTGGAGCTCTCATCCATCCATTTATGTTGTCCTGTCATTCACATGGAACTGGAGTTATCTAGCAAGATAACTGCACTTCTCACAGATCCCGATTGGCTCCTGCCTAGTTGAATGAGTATTCCTCTGACTTCTCTGTTATGATTTGGCCACCTAGAAGCCCTGACTTAAAGCCTTTTGAGTTCCTTTGGGATGTTTTGAAGAAAGGCATGAAAGAAAAAAGTTGTTTGATGTTTTGAAGAAAAGCACATATCACAACAGTCTCTACCCTTCCTGAATTATGGATAGCTCTAGCCAATGTTTAGCAAGCTATTCATGTGGAATGCTTCCACGCACTTGATTAATCTATGCCTTGTCGTGTGGCAGCTGCTGTCAATGCCAGGGAGGGCCAACTCCTTATTGACTTGCTGTCCCTAATTCAGTGGCACTGTATTTTCTGATAATGTCTTATGTAATGTTTATTTTTTCTTTGCATGTTCATGACTGAAACATGGAATGCTATAATGTCACACACTAAACATAAGATATTGACTTTTTTTAAAAGAACTATTGCATAAGCTGCTTGCCATGTTGCAGACTGTGGTAACAACCATTACAATACTGCCTGGAACTTCCTATCGGCAGTCAATAGTACTTGAGAGAATGCAATATAAAATATTGGTATGCACACTTCTATGATAGTGGTAGTCAGCTTAAAGTTCAGGTTTTGGATTGCCACAAGCACGTATGTGACATATGTGTATGTGTGTACAGAAATCTTAAAAATATACAATATTCTGATTGATCATCTCAGCATATTTTTGGCTTCGAAAACAGAAGTTTGTGGATAGAGTCAGTGCAAGGTTAATGATGATGCTTTCCACCAATGTTTGGCTTAATATTCCATTGTCACAGGGAAAGAATGAAACATCTATGCTAACATGGATGAAGCTGAACAAACTATTCATACTTCAGCCAAAACACTGCCCATGTGCACTTGTGTAAAGAATGATAAACCACCAAAACTTCAGCTAAACATTAATACACTTGTATAAAGGAATGTTTTGTGTTTGATGAGATTTATATTGTGTTATGTTTAAAAAGTTGTTCTTGCTAGGCAAGCATCATTGATAGGCTAGACACAGCATCAATAAAACGATTAAAATGCACTGGTGAAGTAAAACTTAAATTTATATTTTGTTACATTAATAGTTTAGTAACTAATGTTTATTTCAGATGCGAATAAAAATCTTTTATATGTATATATATTTCAATAAAATAAGAAAGAAAATGGAAAGAATCGCAAATTGAAATAACATTTTAGATATGTTAAGAATTTCTTTCCTTAAAATCTCAATACTATGAGTTTTTATATATTAATCACATTATGTGTGTGTCTATATATAAAGAGAGAGAGAGAAAATTAAGATAACACATTTAAATCCATTACATTTCCCCCTGAATCAAGTCAATAAAATAAATAACTGATTGCATGCACATGAAACATAGTGAAAAAATTTTTTAAATAGCACCATAATGAATCAAAAAGTGTAAACCAAAAATGAAATAAAGATAATTTTCATCTTTTGCTGTGTAATCATCAGGGGGTTGGTGTGACAAAAGAGGTAAATGAATCAGTGTATTTCTAATTTGACAGTAACACAAATTTACAAACTAAAAACCTCAAATAACTACAAAATGATCTGTGTCCTTCTAGGTCCCAGTCCAAACCCTATAGACTGGATTAGGAATAGCAGTACTGCCCAATTTTCCAAGTGTCCTCAAGTACCAAATAATTGCAATAAACAGCATAGAAATCAGTCACTGGATTAAAATAAAAACATTGAGCAGGCTGAGTCTAACTCCCCCAAAAATGTTATAACAACATAAAACAGGCAGTAATTAGTTAAATTAGTTCTATGACTATAACATGTAATAAATGAACAATTAATTGTAAATGGAAAAGGAAACCTCCTTCTCTCACCCCTCCCCCAGTGTGAGTGGGTGTTTACTTGTGTGCGAAGGAGTGATTCACTATTCAGGTGTACGTCATAATTGTCAAAACTCATTACAAAAATGGGGAGTGCTAGACAGAAATAGTTTTAAAAAACGGAAAGTGCTATGTGCAATCTTTAGGTCTAACAATGCTCCCACAAAAAATAACAGTATGTAATTGATAAAGTAATTCAAGGTATCCAGTCAGCAGCAACCATACAATTGCCCACATAAAATCATGAGTTGAATGAAGCAAAACATTACAATGATGTAGGACAATGTGAGTATCAGCCTAAAAAAAATCACTATTATTCACAACATTTAGGAATGTCAATGTTCTAGGTGCAGCAAGCAATGCCAAAAAACTTTTATAAGCAGCTATACAAAATTCAGTTGGTATAACAACTTGAATCAACAGGTAACAACTTGAATCAACAGGAAAAGAGATTTGCTGGAGTGTATTTTGACAAAGGAGGCAAACATTAATTTTTCAAATAGAATATCTCTAGTGATAAGACATATGTTCACTGCCTTGGTTTGTCAACAAATAGAAGTGCTTCATTTAGGGATAAGAATAAGGCAAGAATGCTAAATGCATCTCTTACAAACCACAGTTTGGTGTGATTTTAGTGGCAAGAGATGACTAGCACCTTCTTATTTGAAGATGTCGTTGAAAATTTAGTTACATTAAATTATGGTCATTATTGTCACATAATCACAAACGTTTTGTGGCCTGATCTGAATGATATGGATTCTGTGAAAGAGTTTCAGCAGGATAGGTTTACTAACTATACATTGGGCTAGAGAATGATCTTTCTTCACGAAAAATTCTCTGGGTCGATAATTTCAGTATGTGGTTAATAACTGGAAATGGCCTGCAAAGTCTTGTGACTTAATAAGTTCTGACATTCTGTTTGTGGGATTACATTAAGTCAAAAGTTTATATGAACAAATAATAATCAGTCCTCAAACTAAGAGAGAAATTCAATGGATCATTTGCATATTCAGTGGAGACACCTGAGAAAAGGTCTTCATGAATTTCATTGATAAGGTCAAGAAAGTGGAGACGGGCATATGTCAGAAATCATCTTTCTCTGTTAAACCAGAGTGTATGTGGAGGAAAAGTTTACACTTTTTATGCAGCTTTGAATGATTTGTTGAATTTTTAAAACCCGTACAATTTGTGAAACATAATATGTATATAGATATTTAAAAAACATATGGATACATAAAAAGAAACAATTTTTTTTATTTCTGTTTCTGCCTCTTAAAATTAATTTTGAAGATTATATACATATCTATTTTCCTTAAATATGTCTCTTATTTTTGTGCTATCTTTAGTTCATAATTGAAGTAAAGTTTTCCACTTTATAAGATATGTTTCTGATGTTTTAGATCCTACTCTTCATCACCTGTTCCATCTGAGGCCGAAGAATATGAAATTCATAGGCCCATTGCAATTGAATCTCTGACTAAAACCGATCATAACTATTATGGTCGTGTAGAGAAAATGCCTAAAAAAATAACTGAAGGCTCTGGAGCTCGGCAGAGTCGTCCATCCACTGATTCATCATCAGAATCTGAAGATACTGCTCTTGTTAAAGAAATAGTTGACACATTAGTTGGTGTAGTTGCTGAACGTTTTGTTGATGAAGAAAAGGAAAAGTGTAATGTAGAGAGTATTAGTCATAACATGCAAGTTACTAGTCTTTATTTAAATGGTGATTTATCAAAAATATCTGTTGAATCAGTTGCTGAAGAATCTGTATATACTACCAAGCATTTATATGATATTGAAGGTTTTGATAAAGAGTCTGAAAATGTTTCTCACGATCAAGTATCTGCTTTAGACGAGTCCCCCACAGTCACTGAGGAAAAGGATGATTTTGCAAAATTAGAGCAATTAGCCTTAGAACTTGAAACTGAAGCTGCAGCTTGCAAAATTGTTGAAGAAATGCTGCAAGATGATGAATTAATGGAGTCTTGTGATCCGCATTTTCAAGACCGGAACATTCTTATACAGCCAGAAAACTATGTCATTAACTATGAATATGATACTCCCAGCCCTTCTGTTAATGAAATGCCAAATGTATCAGAATCAGACAATAATGAAATATTATCAACCATGTCATCAATACTTACTAGTGTTGAAATTTCTGAAGCAATTCATTCGGATATTGAAATGCATGATGACATGTTGAAAGAAAATAGATCTGAGGAGAAAATAGATGATGCTTATGCAGAGAAAATTTCAGTTGGCATGAAATGTGAATTTATTGAAGAAAGCAAAAAAGACATTAAAGTTTCCAATGAGAACTTTTATCTCCCAAATGTAATTGACAATGATAACAGAGATCAAACACAAATGGCTATAGCTAGTATTCTAAATACTGAAAGTAATGTACAAAGTATGGATGATTTTCATTATCAGGAAATGGAAGTAAATGATCTTGAAAACATTAGTTCTGTTAATTTAACAAATATTGAAGTTGAGCCTTCTCTTAATGTAAATAATCCTGCAACTTATGATTCTGTTAGCAAAAATGATTTTGAAACCACTGAATCTGAAAATACACAAGCTTTGAAAGAAAATTCTAATGCCATTACTTATGTGGCACAGTCTAATGAAATCAAAGAGGAAACTGGAGGCTCACCATCTGAAGTTTATTCAGATATTACAACAAATAAGACTGAAAAAATAAATGATACATGTTCAGGAGAAGTGTTATCTAAAACAGTTACAGGTAAGGTAATTTTAATTTATGTGAAAATTTTATTCTAATTCAAATAAATTTATTTGAGGATTAGTTTTATGGCATAAAAATGTATGTATAATTCTCTTTAGGTATGGATGTTTAACATAGGTTTAGTTGAGCATTAATTTTCAATAATTTTAATAGTTACAATCTCATGTTATGATACTTTGTAATATTTATGAATTTAATGTATATAAATTTTGTATTTTATTCTTTTTTATTCAAGAACAAATTAAAAATTGTTATTCAGTTTTAAAAAATTATTATTAAATTTTAAAATAATTCTTATATTATGACGTTGTGACATTTGTTAGTAATAACAAACGTAAAAAAATTATTTATTTATTACTTAAACAGATATGATTTTAAAATTTCTGTTCTATTTTCAGACTCGCCCAATACAGAAAAGCCATCTATTGTTAGTAATAACAAACGTAAAAAAATTATTTATTTATTACTTAAACAGATATGATTTTAAAATTTCTGTTCTATTTTCAGACTCGCCCAATACAGAAAAGCCATCTAATGACACTGTGCCGTCAGCCTTACCACCAACACCAGAAGAACTTGAGAAAAGTCTAACAGAAATATCAAAGTTAATTCCAATATGTCTGGATGCAATGAGAGAATGTCTTCAACGATTTATTCAACATTACAAATCTTTGTATCGTATTGCACATTACTATTGTCATTCAACAAAAAATAAGGTATTGGAATGTAACAAAATTTAGATTTAATCTAATTGGTATATTAATTCTATCATGAACTATAATAGAAATGCTGTACTTTAAAATGGTAAGTATAAAATTGCCAGAAATGAAATTCCTTTGTTAAAAGTATTATTTATATTTTGTTATGCAAAATAATTTAATATTTAGAAATTGCAAATATTACATTATTTTCATAACAAAATATAAATAATACTTTTAACAACTTATTAATTATTACTTATTAATATAACAACTTATTTAACATATTTTATTAACTTGTAATGAATAATTTAAATAGATCTAAAAATGTAAAATATATTTTCAATGATCGAATAATATTTAATGTGAAAATTTCATTAGCTCGATTGAAATATATTTCAATCTAGTCCACTTCCCCAATCATTCAATTTCGAGTTTATGTACATTAATGTCTGGAAAATATTTTTCTCCTTATTTCCTTTAATGGTCTAGAATCCACTGTCATCACAAGAGTAAACTTACTAATTGACTTTAGTATGCAATCTTTGGATTGCTTGTTTCTTTAAAATCTGTGTTAATTCTCTAAAGATAATTATATATTTTTTTAAAAATATATTTAATGTTTTTATTTTTTACATAAAATTCCTTTTTTTAAAATAAATAATAAAATCCTTTTTGTATTTATATTGTTAAAGATTTTAATGAAAAGACTTTTGTACTTATATGTGTCACTTGAAAATTCTTCAGATGATGTAATTTTTTCATATGTTTCAGAATTTGAGCTGGGCACGAGAAATCCTTCTGGCTGCCACACCTCCAACTAAAAAATATCAGTCCCTACCTGGTTTGTTCGCAGAACGGAAAAATACAAATTTCTTCAATGTAAGCTTATTGTTCTTTGATTTTATATATCTTTTCTGGAGTTCAAAAATATTTTCCAAAATGGGAATACATAGCTTCCTTACTCTGTATCTATATATAAATATTTTTTTTTTTATTTTTTAGTGTAGTTTAATTCTGCTGCATATTTTTAATATTTTTTATTTTAATACACATGGTATCATGTTGTCATCTTTAGCAGTGATCATCTATCACAAATATGAAAGAGTGAAAACTCTTAAAATCGTTAAATATCTATTTTGGTAAGCAAAAAATATTGATAGCAAAATATATGATGATTCAGCAAGATTCATTCAAGAAATGTTTCTGTGAAATTTATTTATTGAACCTTAGAAGTAGATTGATTTCTGATACTGACTTTGATTGAATTTTCAACTTTTAAAATGTTTGCTGCAAAAACGGGTATTTAAATGTTAAAATCATTACCATCTTACTGAAAGGAATAAGCATGCCATGTATCAATTTTTAGACATATTTTAATATTATTACTGTTGAAACCTTCTAAAAGAAAATTTTGTCATTATAGTGAGAACTACAGAAATTATTATTAGAAGTTTAATGATTGTAAATTGATAACTGTGCTTTATTTTTCAAATCAACTACTTACTGTGATTTGTTAATAGCAACCATAGGTTTTTGCAGTTCTAGTCATTTACAGAAAAATAATAATTTTGTAATTAATATCATCCTTTAGCTGACAAACTGCTAGTGTCTCTGTGATTGCATGCATAATTTTTTGTACCAGTTTTACATTGATTACTGCCTACAGACTTTATCTTTTATTTTATAGAATTATACAGTATGTTCCTAGTTAGCTCAGTCCAGGCGCTCAAGGATATAGATACAATATCTTTTCATTCTTTGGAATAAGCATATTGATGTAAATCATGAGAAACAGCTTCATAATGCCATGCTAAATTAGAACCATTTATTGACATATAAAGGGCACTGCTTGGCATATGTCACAAAAATAAGTGGCTTGCACCTGCTTTACGTTGATTATTGCAAATGTACACAGTGTACAGGGTATTATCATGTGCTAATTCAGCAAAACATTAATAATACATTGTAACTTTGGTAGGCCTTTGAGTTTTAACATTATTATCAATAAAGCCAGATCTTTTAATTTTGTGCCTATCACACTTGGCCATATACCATTCTTTGATATGCATCAGCAGCTACTTATTATAATATACAGAAGTCCGAGATCCAAACATCAATATCCGGAATGATCTAAAATCTGGACCTTAAATCCACCAATAAACTTTATTATTATTATTATTATTATTTCTCTCATTAAATATGTAAAGAATTTAACTTGAGCATTAAATAAAATACCTCTTATTGAAGAAACAATCATTTTAGCATAAATTTGTGTGATCAATAATTTGACCCCGTAGCTGCGTATCTGCTTGGAATACATGTCAAACCGAAACATTCTACATAGAAACATCGTTCATTTTACACCAACTAATGTTTCATATCTCTGATGCCAACCTGGCGAATCATTATGTATTATATTTTGCTTTCATCACCACACATGACAACTTGAGTAATGACTCGTACAGCAATGCCTAAACATTATTATTATTATTATTATTATTGGCTATAACAAAGAGTATGGTAACCTTTTCTGTTGACATTATGCTTGGCAATGATTGCAGATTTAAGTTAAATGTGCTAAGAAATGTTGATGAGGAAAAATTTAACAAAATTTCTTTCCATGTGCTAAAAACATATTTGCTAATGATATTCATAGGCCAAAAGATTACATTTAGTATTATTTGAATTAAGAATAACTGATTTGTTATTCACATAAACCCAGAACTGGTGCCAGAGCTCATATGGCCTCACAGGATGCCAGAATTTAGGAAGACAAAATTTTTGGAATTTAGAGAAACACCGAACACAAAATTAGGGATGACAAAATTTTTAGAATATAGAGAAAGCACTTAAGAGTATGTGGGAATTTGTTTATTCAGGACTCAGATAAGTCTTAAAGTATGTACAAGAAATAGACGTAAGTGTAATAAATAACTAATACAATTCAGGCTAAATTGTGTCAGTGTGCGATAGAAGCAAAGCAAAATTTAGCGGAACAGCTTGTCTTTCTTCACCAGTTTCATTATACATAGCGGATTATACATTTCATTTTACATAGCGGATGCTATTAAGCTAGTCTAAAATTATACTTTACCGATTCCAAGGAATTTCAGTTAATATAGCAGATTGCACTGTTCCATAATTTTCTGGTTTGATCCGGCTTATTATTTTTTGCAGGCTGTTATTATTACTGCAATTTTATAAAAATTAAAGTTTGAACTTTCGAGCTTTCTGGAGCTGCAACAGGATCTACAAAGTGAAAGCATGTTTCAATGTCCATTAAACAAAAAGTAGAGTTGCTGCAAAAAATGAATAAAGGAAAAATTATGCGAGGAGTATGGCTTAGAAAGTCAACTGTATATGACATAAGAAAACAGAAAAAGGAATTTTTTAAATTTTTCGTGGATTCCAACACCCCACTCACAATGAATAACAGAAAAATTATTCGTTATGCTAAAAGAGATGATTGAATGGGTCAGACAGTGTCACAACGAGAGCATGCCATTGATGGGTCCAATGCTAATGGCTCAAGCCAAAATATCTCATGAAGAAATTAACTTCAAAACTGAGTGCACATGTTCAACAGATCGGTTAACTAAATTTAAAAATCACCATAGTATTTAAGGTAATCAAAAATTTTAGGGAAAAAGCTTCAGCTCATACTGAAGCTGCTGAACTATTTCCAGATGAATTCATTGAACTTATTAACAGTGAAAAGTTATCACCAGAACAAATTTACAATGTTGATGAAACTGCTCTTTTCTGGCAATATGTACTGTGAAATATCTTGGCAACGTATACAGAAGGCTCCAACTAGTGTCAAAGATTCTAAAATAAGACTAACAGTTTTGGCATGCGCAAATGCTGCAGAAACCCACAAGTGTAAACGTTTTGTAACTAGAAAACATACACGACCTCGAGCATTTAAAAGAGAAAAGATTTTCGCCGTTATTTACGAGGGCTCTTTTATTTATTTTTTTTAAAGGGTCCAATTGGTCTCTAAAGAAAAGTTTTGGGGAAGAAAAGTTCTGAGTACGTAGGGATTACATAAACATGCTTCAAAAAATAAGAGTCTCCCACCAAATGTGAATCGTGTTCAGTCAATCGATTTCTGCATGCTGAAGGAAGCAATGCAGCCGAAATTCATAGACGAATGAGCAAAGTGTACAGAGAAACTTTCATGAGCGACAGCAAAGTGCAGAAAAAGTGCAGGAACTTTGAAGCTGGACGTACAGATGTTCATGATGCAGGCAGCCAGGGAAGGAAGCCAGTGTCAACCGATGATCTTCTTCAGCACATGGATCAGGTGATTCGTGGAAATCATCTGTTCACAATTTTTGGTTTGAGTGATTTGATTCCTGAAATTTCACGGTCAGCTCTCTATAGCATTGTGCGTGAAAGATTCGAGTACTGCAAACTCTGTACGAGATAGGTTCCCAAGATACTATCTGACCATCACAAAACTCGGCAGATAGTTGCCGTATTAACCTTTTTCCAGTGCTATCATCAGGACGGAGATGAATTTTTGAACAAAATTGTCACAGGAGATGAAACATGGGTGCATTATGAAACTGAAGAAAAAAGAGAGCAATTGAAACAGTGGATGCATTCACACTCCCCAAGTTGTAAGCCAGTGAAGTTCAAGAGCACATTTTCCACCAAAAAGTGTATGGCTACAGTGTTTTCGGACCGAAAAGGCGTTCACTTGGAGGGATTCATGCCCCAAGCACACATCACTGCACTTTGTACTGCATGACTCTTGAACACAGGGTTCGTAGCGGTCCTTACAAGTGCTTATAAGTCCTTATATTTGAAAATAAAATATAAAGGCCCTTATAGGTGCTTACTTTTTCTTTAAAGCCCTTATTTTTTTGTTTTTAGTGCTTATTTTTTGCTTTTAGTGTTTTTTTTTTAATCCTTTGTTTTTAATGAACGTGCATTTTCCCCCCGTACCAAAGCCAAAACTAAATAAACAACTTTTCTTCCTTATATGCAACGTCAGATGGTGAATCATACTCCCGGAAATTGCTTTTCCCCCCTTCCTCTGCATTAATGTAACCTATGATATGCGTGAGAGTACAGATGGGTACACGTCGTTCTATTGGCCAAAGAATTGCGAAAACGGTAGAAAATTCCAGTACATTCGGTATTCTTTTCCTCCCACCCAAATACTACACACGTTTGAATTTCTATCAAGATTTTAATAATTTGCATTCTCGTTCCGCGTGGTCAGTTCGTATTCGCGTTTATTGTGATCGTTATGCTTATATTATGAGCATATGTATGAATATTTATAATAATATAGTTGCAGTAACTGCTGAAGTATAGATAAACTTCCAAAAATGGGTGTGTTAGCTTTCTACACAGATTAGCTTTCTAACGAATAATATTCGGAATGGCTTAAATAAAAGGAAAGTAATCGAATAGTCAAAATAATTTCATTTTCTTTGTCAATACATTATACAGTACGGAGATTGGGAGTTTCTCCGCAAAATCTCTAATATTGAAGCAGCAGACTTTTTTTTTTGTCACTGTCCAATCTCGATTGAATAGGACTAAAAGTTTTTGCGGTCTACCCAACCCAAGCGAAGATTGATTCTATTTCGGAAATTTAATATAGTATGTTGAAAATTAGAATCAGAAACACCCCAGATTAGTAAGTCTCTTTCTTTTCCTTTATTTAGTTCTTTATTCTCCGAATACCGGCAGGTGTTGATTCCGATTGCGTAATATCACATATGGAAGAATTACGCTGCGCGTATTGCGCAATAACGTTTGCGGTATTTTGCATTGATAATTAATTTTGATGTTCAGTCTGAGATTTGTTTATGAACACTTAAAAGAGTTTTACTGTGCTTTCTAAGCAGAATATTTCTCAG